CTCGCCGCTGGCTCGCGGGCTCCGGGGCCGGGTGTCCGTATTTATAGGTGCGCGCGCCCCGCGCTCGCGCTCCAAAGCGCTCTTTGCAATAACACGGAATCACGTGTGGGGAATGCGACCTGGGAGGAAAACAAAGCCGCAGGCGGCGGCCGCAGAGGCAGGCGGCGGGAGGCGAGGGGCCGCGGGAGGAGGAAGAGGAGGACGGAAGAGCCAAGCGGGTGGTGGGGCGGGGGATCGGCCCGGCTGTCCGGGTTGTCCGAGCTGCTTGCTGGGGGAGTTGGCGACTCCCGGGGCGCGCGGAAGCCAGGTGCGGGAGGCGAGCACGTTTCCCCCCGCGCGCTCGCACTGGGAATTGGGGGAGCGAGCAGAACCCAGTGGGTTAGGTCCTGGGGCTGTGCTCCTGGGAGAGTTGTGGGTCTACAGGACAGTTATGTGGAGCGTTGCAGAGTTTTAGACTGAGAGCGAGTTACTTAGACCCCGCAAGGCCGTTGGTCCCTGAGGAGTAAATAGGTCCTTATTCATAATAACTCGGGTAAGTCTACAGCCCCTATGGAGACTGTCCCACCGTAAAGTTATTGCTAACAACCATTGCGGTTGGGTCTCATTCGTTCCCAGGCCAAGATGCAGCCCTCGGGATAAATGCACGCCTTGGGATGCGTAAGAGCCCAGAAGCACGAACATCTTCCATGTGACCAACGAATTCACGCATCCCCAATCCATGGTATTGTCACTTTTCATCTCTCTCTTAGCAAAGGCCAACGCAAATTTTTTACTTTGGGTCTGAAATATGCTCCATTTTCTGTGAATACCGAGGTGGGCTAAAATGACCTTACACTCTTTTCTCCTGGTCACCTTGCAAATTTTTGTAGATTATGATCTTTCTCCCGCATAAACTGGGACCAATGTGGACAGTTATCTGTCGTTTAATCATAAACACACGTTTGGCACCTACCATGTCTTCTATAAATACGGGTTCCTGAAGACCCTCCCAGAGCAGTAGCTCTGAATCTGGGAGGAGTCGCAGTCCCCACCCGCAATGAATGCTTGTTTTGGTTGGGGGTGGGGACAGGGTGAAGGGATTCACCTGGAGGGATCTGAAAACGTGTGCGAGTTTCCCCAGGCGGTGTGGGCAACTTACCAAATGCAGTAAGGAACAATTGCCACACTGAATTAAGCTCTGTGACACCTAAAACACCTGCTACACTTTTGAGGGAGAAGCAACGTGTTTAAGATCAACGGATTAATTTAATTAAAGGTTTAAATTTAGCCCTGGAGCTAATGGGTAACTCTACATTGAAATTCCACTCCATTTCAAGCTCAGGAAAGTAAATTGAGTAATGGAGAGCAAATACACCCTGTCCAGAGAGGTGCCGCCAACCTGGAGTGCCAGAGGGTTTCAGGTTACATTTGCTCAGGACAGAGATGGCACGTGGCCCTTTACATGAACAATTGTTGTTATATTTTATTTTGTACTGTTTTTAGGCCTTTTGAAAACCTGGAGCCTGGAGTCTATTTACAGCAGCCTCATATCAGTGAAGTCAAAGCTCAATGGCCAGCTCTGTGAAATTTCACCAGGATTTTAATTATTTTGGCTAGCTACCTTGAAACTTCCAAGCCCTTTTATGACAATCGAGTTAATTTACATGACCACTGGCCTGGTTGGAAGGCAGTGTTAAGTGAAAGACTCCAACAGTGTTCCTGTAAAATATATTTTCCTTCATTCAAAAGTGATAAACGTTAATTTCAGAGAACATAAGATAAGCAAAGAGGAGAAAAAAAAAAGGAGGGGTATCACTAACAATCTCTTCTGTGGAAATAACGTTAAACTTAATTTTTGATATCTGTTTTGTATTTTCATGTATTTTATAGAGACATATGTATATATATTCTTTAGCTTGTCACCCAGGCTGGAGTGCAGTGGTGTGATCATAGCTCACTGCAGACTCAACTCCTGGGCTCAAGCGATTCCCTCTGCCTCAGCCTCCCGAATAGCTAGGACTACAGGCACCCACCACCACACCTGGCTAATTTTTAAAAAAAATTTTGGCCCGGCACAGTGGTTCAAGCCTGTAATCCCAGCACTTTGGAAGGCCTAGGCGGGCAGATCATGAGGTCAGGAGTTTGAAACCAGCCTGGCCAACATGGTGAAACCATGTTGTGGTGAAACCTGTCTCTACTAAAAATACAAAACTTAGCTGGGCATAGTGGTACATGCCTGTAATCCCAGCTACTGGGGAGGCTGAGGCAGGAGCGCAGGAGAATGGCTTAAACCCAGGAGGCGGAGGTTGCAGTGAGCCAAGATCGTGCCACTGTACTCCAGCCTGGGTGACAGAGCAAAAAAAAAAAGAGAAAAATTTTTTTTTGTAGAGTTGAAGTCTCATTATGTTGCCCAGGCTGGTCTGGAACTTCCAGCCTCAATCAGTCCTCCCATGGTGGCCTCCCAAAGCACTGGGATTACAGGTGTGAGCTGCCATGCCTGGCCTTGGGTGTGTTTTTTAAACAAAAGTGAAATCGGGCTGTTTTGTCTCTTGTGATTTTTGCCTGCTGTGTTGTGATTATCTTTCCATGTAGAATATTTTTCTACATGGAAGAATTTTTATTTTAATGACTACATAGTATTCAATTTGATGGAGAGACTGTACCCTTTTAAACCTGTGCATTTCATAAATTTGTGGTTTTCACGTTTGCTCTTATAAAGTGATGATGACTTCCTTTTTGTTTTTCTAAATCTTGCTACCACCCAATATTATTTTCTTAGGTTAAATAGATGCTGGGGCAAATGGCATTTCATGTTTTTAAGGTTTTCATCCATAAAGGTTGTTCAGTCTGCTTTCTTACAATTTTACTGGGTATTGAAATGTTTCTATCATCCCCCAAAATATGTACAACCATGATACATCGATTAAAAAAATACTAAAAAGTTTCTATCAATATTCATTTTTTATAACCTTCATTTTCTGTAACCTTTTGTCTACGTGAAGTGTGAAGTATGAAACTAATTTCAAATATTTATTAAAGCATCAAATAAGAATCAATGTCTAATCTCCGGCCAGGCGTGGTGGCTCCGCCTGTAATCCCAGCACTTTGGGAGACTGAGGTGGGCGGATCACAAGGTCAGGAGATCGAGACCATCCTGGCTAACACAGCGAAACCCCATCTCTACTAAAAATACAAAAAATTAGCCGGGCATGCTGGCGTATGCCTATAGTCCCAGCAGCTGGGGAGGCTGAGGCAGGAGAATGGCATGAACCTGGGAGGCGGAGCTTGCAGTGAGCTGAGATCGCACCACTGCACTCCAGCCTAGGGGACAGAGCGAGACTCCGTCTCAAAAAAAAAAAAGAAAGAAAATGTCTAATCTCCAAACTGCTTCCGTGACCCCCTTCTGGGGATCTTGAGATATGGTTTATTGTTCACCTACTGTATGCCAGTCACAGAGTATTTCTAATCTTTATAACCACCCTGTGGTGGTGGTGAAAGCATTATCGATATTTTACAGACGAGGCTCAGAAAAATTAAATAATTTGCCCCAAGTCATCTAGCTCTTAGCTGGGTGGGGTGGGCCAGTATACAAACCCATCTGACTCCAAGATCCATCCATGCATGTTCTTGCGCCCTCTGCTGGTAAGGATGTTTAATGGTAGAGAACAGTGTCCAGACTTAATCTTACATCCATACTTGAGGTCAACTATTATGGAATAATGCAAACTTTGGAGTAAGAGGATCTGGGTTTCAAGAGCAGGCCACTTACCCTCTCTGAGTCAGTTTTCTCTGTGGGTTATTGTGAGGTACAAATGAGACTGCTGAGGAATATTTTACAAACTTTAAAGTACTTTTTAAAATGTCAGTTGTTATTTATGCCATTCTAATCTACTTAGTCCCTGAATTATTCCAAATTCATTTATTTTTCAACTACTTAGTCATTGATCAAGTTTTATCAAGCAACTTCTACATCCACAGTACCATCTGTGACAAAGGGATAAAAAGAAATGTGGCCCTTAGCCCTTGTGACCTTGATAGTTAAACCATGGAAAACACATTTAAATGAAAATGCAAAGCCAACCCTGATTAAGTTTCAAATGCGCAATTGGACTATAAGCATTATCAGAATATGGAAAAGAAGTGTTTTATTTGCAGTGGCGGGGAAGGCCTTAAGCAAGAGCCAGGATTTGAGCTGACCTAGGAGATTCAGAAGGCCAGGAGGAGGATCCTTGCAGAAGAGGAAGTTTGGCATACAGATTCCTCATGCATCGCAGGCCTGGAGGACTAGAACTTGAAATGTGATTCGACTTGGTCAGCCACGTGTCCCCTCTCCCCCTTCCCTTTTATATTGTCCCTTTCGAGTGCCCATTCTGAAACATTTTTGCACACATGAATTCAAAATGCATGCACTGTTTTGATGGAGACATGTTGGAGGTCAGTTTTTAAAAAGAAAGGAAAAAACCTACAAGTAATCACTGGCCCTTAAAAAAATAATAATTCAGCAGAGTAAGAAGTCTGAAAATTAGCTTAGGCTCCAAGAAACATGCAACCTTGTAAGGTCTCCAGTTTGGGGATATCATAAGCTTTGTACCTTGGTAGCCTCTCCTACCTTATCTATGGGTGAAGGTAGGTGTTGCAATATTTTACCTTGCAGGGTTGTGAGGGTTACCAACAGTATAAATTATGTAACTAGCAGAGTACCTGTAGTTCAGTAGGTAACTATTATTAGAAAAATGCAAAATACAGAAGGTGCACATTAAAAAGCCCAGAATGTTTTAGGTTCTAGGTTTTTATAGTTTTCACTGATCCTGAGACCAATGAAATATTAGCATACCTTTCTAGGCAGGACCATGAGAAGCTTCAGCTGTTAGCTCCTGCTTAAATCAGATTATTTTACGGTATTTTCCATCAAAGTACAGGCTGGTGCGGGCTGCTGGAACACGCACTGGACTGTCAATCTAACATAGGCATAGTCTCCCTGAGAAACCTGCTGCTTTCCTTAATCCAGTGAAAGTTAAATCCTGGCCAGGCGTGGTGGCTCACACCTGTAATCCCAGCACTTTGAGAGGCCGAGGTGGGTGGATCACCTGAGGTCAGGACTTCGAGACCAGCCTAGCCAACATGGTGAAACCCCATCTCTACTAAAAATACAAAAATTAGCTGGGCGTGGTGGCATGCGCCTGTAATCCGAGCTACTCAGGAGGCTGAGGCAGGAGAGTCGCTTGAACCTAGGATGCAGAAGTTCAGTGAGCCAAAATCATGCCATTGCAGTCCAGCCTGGGTGACAAGAGCAAGACTGTCTCAAAAAAAAAAAAAAAAAAAAAAAAAAGGCAGTTAAATCCTCTGAGACTAGAAGTAGAGAATGATCAAGAGGTGGTCCTCGATGCCCCAGCTCTTCTCCATGAAGTTTGTCTTACCCATAGGAACTTTTGATCATTTCTGCTGGCCTGAGAGAATGGGAGGAAGAGAGGATGGGGGTAGGGTTATTCTTTGCCCTTTTTCAATTTGGCACAGAAACTTTAATTTCCTTCCTTAATTCCCCAGGACATCGGAGATCAGATACAACATCTGAATAAGACTTGACTAGAAGCTCCGGGATGTTGGATGTAGAAATAAACCCAACCAGTAATATAGAACCCCATATAGCAGCTTACAAACGTGACTTACTCATAACCCTCATCCCAGTATTTCCTGAATGCCAATCCCATGCCAGGTCTGAGTTAGGTTCTGTGAGTACCAAGGAGAACAGGATGTGGTCCTATCCTGGAGCCCTCAAACTAATAGCAGAGAAACACATACTAATATTTTCTGCATCATACAGTGTATTTTTAAAAAGTTTCAAAAGAGCTGTAGGCCAGGCGCGGTGGCTTACGTCTGTAATCCCAGCACTTTGGGAGGCCAAGGTGGGCGGATCATGAGGTCGGGAGTTCGAGATCAGCCTGACCAACATGGTGAAAC